GCCACTGCACTCCAGTCTGGGCGACAGAGTGAGACTCCAACTCAAAAGAAAAAATAAAAAGCTCAGAAGGCACAGTGGCGCTTGCTTGTAATCTCAGTGCTTTGGGAAGCCAAGGCTAGAGGGTCATTTGAGGCCTGGAGTTGAGACCAGCTTGGGCAACATAGGAAGACCCATCTTTCTTTTTTTCATTTTTTATTGAGGTCTCACTCTGTAACCCAGACTGGAGTGCCATGGCCCAATCACAGCTCACCATAACCTCGACATCCTGGACCATCCACCTCAGCCTCCCGAATAGCTGGGACTGTGGGCACATTACACTATGCTCAGCAAATTTTTTTACTTTTTGTGGAGACATGGTCTCACTATGTTGCCTAGGCTGCAAGACCTCATCTCTACAAAACATAAAAATTTTAAAAACTCAATCCACGTCGGGCACGGTGGCTCATGCCTGTAATCCCAGCACTTTGGGAGGTGAAGGCGAGATGATTGCCTAAGCTCCTGGGTTTGAGACCAGCCTGGGCAACTTGATGAGACTGTCACTACAATAAACCAAAAATGTAGCCAGGTGTGATGGCGCATGTCTGTAGTTTCAGCTACTTGGAAGGCTGAGGTGGAAGGACCCATCTGAGCCCGGTGGGTTGTGGCTGCGGAGGCCGTGAGTGTGCCACTGCACTCCAGCCTGGGCGACAGGGTGAGACTCCGACTTAAACAAAAACAAAACCAAAAAAATCTCAACCCACGAAGAAATACTGGGTCTGCCCATTGACCCAGAGGACTCAGTGTCTTTGACACTTAAGATTTTCAGTAGAGATCAATCAGTAAATAGGAAATAAAAGCTTGTCTTTCAACAGCCTCTGGATGAAGAAAATGTCTTTGATAGCCTACCTACACATTGCTTGCATATGTTGCAGTGCCTCTGTCCACTCGTGCTGGAGAAACTATTTGAAGGGCAGGGGATGCAAATCGAATTGTTGTTCTTCCCACAGAAGGTACCTAAGGAAGGCAGATACTGGCTGCACATGTCTGACAATGCACAAGCGTCACCAAAGGCATTGTGATGTTTACCAGGAAACCAGAGTATAAAGAATGATTCATTTTCTACACGCCACAGTGATGGGCATTCTTCAGATTGACTTTTTAAAATTGTGCACTTGCCAGACTACCCTTGGTGTAATCACAGAATTAGTAATAACAAAATACAGATATTGTAACAAATACATCAGCAGAAAGAAAAGACTTGACTTTATCTGTTAAATGAAACAGATTCTCTCCGTTGATCCAAGAGGTCAGTGTCCTCCCACAGCTATGCTGAAAAGTGAATGTGACTGGCTTTTGCCCCACTCTGTTAAGCTCTCTGCCACCTGCTCATTCCCTGCTGTGCCCCCAGTCTGAGCACAAAACCTTACATGCCAAACTAACATTGTTTGAGGATTTTACACACCCCTCCTGCGATCCCCTCAGCCAGCCTGTGAGGTAGGTTCTCTGATCATCCCGGATGACATCACGGAGCCACGGGATATGGTCACACAGCTAATATGTAGCATCCAACACATACGTGTAAAGGAAGGAATAAAAGATGATTAGAGGGGAACTCATGAACCCTGACTACTGGACTGACTGAACCATGTTTCCAACAGACCTGATCAAATGCACGTGTGACTGTGGTACTCACCAGCCGGGCAATTACTGCAGGAATCCTGCATTGATTTCGTCCTCTCAGGATTCATGACCAGCAACAGAGTGGCCACCAAGTGGTAATAGCCATTTCCCATGATGAAATCCTGCATAGATATGATTCTGGCAATGCAGATTTCAGAAGAATTTTAATCCGATTTGTTGGCCTTGCAACTGTCACTCTCTAAAAGGTAAACATTTACAAGGAAGGGCGGTTTCTCCTTTCAGAATTTTCTACATTTCAACCATTACTTGTACAATTCCACTAGGGAAAAAGCAATGATGGAATAGTAGTATGGATAAGTAGTCAATCCATAAAACTTCTACAAGACAAGTGTGATTACCCACATCGCTTTGTGCAGGTTTGCCAAAGGCTGAGAGTGCACTTTCCAGCATGTTCTGGCAAAATGCAGAAATAACAATAGCAAGAACTTTTGGGGACTTTCATAGGCACTTAGCATTAACATTCAGATTTTAGTGATGCCAGTTGCTTGCTACCCATGACATAAAGTCCTTACAAAGAGAAGTGAAGCAGCCAGTAGCATAGATAGTTCCCATTGAGGAGAAGATGCCACATGATCACTTTTCCCTTCAGCTGAACACCTACGTGCTGGCGCGTGGAAGGAACTCTACTCAACCCATCTTCACATTTTCTTAATCCTAGACATGAACTTGCCTGTGTTGAGATATGAAGCTTGGATGGCAACAAAACCAAAGAGTAAAAGATCTTTCAGGTCAAGTTCTTGATCTCTATTTAATGGGCTCTTGAAAAGAGAAGCTAGTATAAAATTGAAGAGGAAAAAGTCTAGAAATGTGAAAGGAGAACAAAGGTTCTGCCCTCACCCCACCTCAGTCCCCCCACCCCCTGCCCCAGACGGACAGACCTGGAGATCTTGGCAGCCTTCCTCCTCCTGTGTCTTCGAGGCTATGCAGCTCAGAGGGCTCCGAGTCTAGCACAGGACTCAACTGGGGGGGCGGGGTCTCATGGGAAATCAACACAGTGACTCAGCCGGGGGCGGGGTCTCATGGGAAATCCCCACCACACACAGCTCTGTGAGGTGTCTCATTTCATAGCTGCTGACCCCAAAATCCCCCAGATCCCCTGTCCCCACTTGATGATGGCACTTTGACCGTTTCTTGGAAGCAGCTTTCTGCTGTTGGGAGATTTCTCAGATGACTTTGGGAAAAGGATTGTCACTTGAAATCGTTCTCCAAGCCGGGCTCGGTGGCTCAGTCTGTAATTCCAGCGCTTTGGGAGGCTGAGGGGAGTGGATTGCCAGAGTCTGCGGGTTCGAGACCTGCCTGGGAAACTTGGCAAGACCTCATCTCTACAATAAACCAAAATAGCCGGGCGTGGTAACGTGTGCCTGTAGTTCCAGCTACTTGGAAGGCTAAGGGGGAAGGATCGCCGGAGCCCAGCAAGTAGAAACTGCAGTGGCCGGGAGCCGCCACTGAACTCCAGTCTGGGTGACAGAGTGAGACTCCAACTCAAAAAAATAAAAAAGAAATTGTTCTCCAGGTCAAAGCATTGAGCATGACCTTCACATAAAATTCGCATTTTAAATTGTACAATTCAGTTGATTTTTGTATACTCACTATGCTGCGCAATCATCACCACCATCTAATTCCAGAACATTTCCATGAGTCCAAAAAGAATCCCACACCTGTGAGCACTCACTCCCATTTCCCCTGCCCCTACCCCTGGCAGCTACTAATCTCCTTTCTGTCTCTATTAGTTTACCTATTCTGGACATTTCATAAAAATGCAATTATACAATGTGTGATCTTATGACTGGCTTCTCTCATTTAGCATGATGTCCAAGGTTCATCCATGTTATAGGGTGTATCAGTACTTTATTCCTTTTCATGGCTGAATTATATTTCATCGTGTGGACAGACCATATTCTGTTTATCCATTCATTGGTCGATGGACACCTGAGTCGTTTCCACTTTTTGACCCTTAGGAATCACACTGCTATGAACATTCGTGTGTCAGTTTTTGTGTGGACACATGTTTTCAGTTTTCTTGGGTGTATACCTAGGTGTGGAACTGCTGGGTCCTGTAGTAATTCGACATTTCACTTTTTGAGGAGTTGCCACACTGTTTCAATAGCAACTGCATCCTTTTACAGTCCCACTGGCAATGAATGGGGTTTTCAACTCCTCCCACATCCTTGCTAACACTTATAATTTTTCCATTAAAAAAAAAAATAGCCATCCTGGTGGGCATGAAGTCATATCTCACGGTGGTTTTGATTTGCTGCTCTTTCCCTGGTTTTGTAGAGACCATGCTCTGGGGTCAGACTGACCTAGATCGAAATCTAGGTTGGGCCATTTATGGCTGTGTAACCTTGGGCATATTTCTTAACCTCCCTGACTCTCCACCTTTCCCAGCACACTTTGCAGGTACAGTGACACCGTACCTTATCCTCATCTCGTGAGGATGAAGTGAAACGTGCACATGAGGCTCTTAGCTCAATGCTTGGCACACAGTTCTCAAGAGAGTAGTAATGCTGCTATGCGACGTATGGGTTTGAAATGTGCCTTTCTGACCTCCCACACTGATCATAAGTAAAGTAACCACAGGCAAGTCACCACAGAAAAGAAGAAAAGTGCACGAGCTGCCTACAAAATGTATCCCCAAATACGGAGAGTCCTCTGAGAGTCACTCCACTTTTGATATCTGTGGGTTCCCTTCTGCCCCAACTTTGGAATTCAGAATTCAGAACTGGCTGAATGTCAAGAGTGTCAAACCACACAAATTAGACTGCTGATCACCTCTTAACACTTTCAAAGTCATCATCTAACTGAATGATCTCATTTTCATGTGGTACTCTCTACTGAACATTACAACATGACATTTAGCTGGGCTGTATTTTCATTTAACTATGTGCTAGTCACTAATCTACATTTTGGATGTTCTGTGGGCAGATATATCATCTCCCCTGAAAGTGACATATTTAGTTTCCCAGCACAGTGATTAGCTCACTGTCTCAAGCTTTTATGCCAGTAACATAAAAGTCTTTACTGAGATAAAATATTCTCATGATTAGTTTTGCCAGCCTACAGTTAAACAAAATCACCACTTCAGAATTTTCTTCTGAAGACTACACTCAACTTGATTCAGGTGTTTGAAGAATTCATGTTGCTATATCTTTGTGTGATCAAAGCATTATAGTAAGCCAAGGCAAATTCCATAGTTAACCAGATGTACATACTCTCTAAGGTAGCAAAAGGTATAATGCTCTTTTAGTGTGATTTTCATTTGCTTTACAATATGTATCACATAGTTTTATCCATTATGGTCTTCTAATCTTTCAAATGCAACAAAAAATTGATCTCTTCTATAAGACCTTCCCAAACTAAATCAGAGATCACCCCAACAAAACATCAACACTTTAGCAGTATTAAAAATATTGGTGGCTGGACTTGGTGGCTCATACCTGTAAATCTCAGCACTTTGGGAGACTGAAGTAGGAGAATACCTTGAGGCCGAGAGTTCAAGACTAGCCTGGGCAACAGAGCAAGACCCCATCTCTATTAAATCTGATAATAATAATAATAATAATATTTTGGTGAGGTGTGGTGGCTCATATCTGTAATCCCAACACTTTAGGAGGCCAAGGCAGGAGGATCACTTCAGGTTGGAAGTTTGAAACCAGCCTGGACAACATAGCAAGACCCGTCTCTACAAAATAATAATAATGCCGGGCTCGATGGCTCAGCCTGTAATCCCACGCCTTTGGAGGCCGAGGTGAGTGAATTGCCTGAGCCCGCGGGCCCGAGACCCGCCTGGGCAGCTTGGTGAGACCTCATCTCTACAATAAAAATAAAAAAATTAACCAGGCGTAGTAGCACGCGCCTGTAGTTCCAGCTACTTGGAAGGCTGAGGGGGAAGGATTGTTAGAGCCCAGCAGGTTGAGGCTGCGGTGGCTGGGAGTGGTCACTCACTCCAGTCTGGGTGACTGAGGGAGACTCCAACTCAAAAAATAATAATAATAATAATAATAATAATATTTGTTGCATCACATTCTAAATATCTCTTGCTAAGCCAATAAATAGATTTTATTCTGATTACTGTAAGTCTAATATTGAACATCTCAAGTGAGTATACTTTGAGGGTAAATAGCATAAAGACTCCAATACTTTAAGCAAGATACAGAAGATATTTAGGGCCGGGCACAGTGGCTCACGTCTGTGATCCCAGCACTTTGGGAGGCCAAGAACAGAAGTTTGTACTTTGAGAGAATTGCTTGCAGACAGAAGTTTGAGACCAGCCTGGGCAACATAGGGAGGCCTCATCTCTACAAAAAAAATTTTTAAATTAGCCAGGTTTGGTGATGTGCACCTGTAGTCCCATGTACTTGGGAGGCTGAGGTGGAAGGATTGTCTGAGCCCAGGAGATTGTAGAGACACTGCTAGTGCTAGTGACACAGCGCTCCAGCCTGGGCAACAGAGTGGGACTGCACCTGTAGTCCCATCTACTTGGGAGGCTGAGGTGGAAGGATTGTCTGAGCCCAGGAGATTGTAGAGACACTGCAGTGCTAGTGACACTGCACTCCAGCTTGGGCAACAGAGTGAGACTAACTCAGAAAAGGAAGAGGAGGAGATATTTAGAAAGAGAAAGAAAAACAGCACCTCAAAATAAGCTTCCTGTGAAATATGTTCCTGCCCTCCCAGGACACTCCCTAGAGGCAATCTAAGTTACAGAGTATTCATTGTGTATACTTATTACCCTTCTGGAAATTCTATGCTTTCAAGATTCAGGGCTTCCCCGCCCTCACTCCAAGGTCTCAGACAAACCCTATTCGTGTGCTGTCAATAGGAGTTCTGAGGCCTGGGAGGGAGTCAGTTAGAAATAACTTGGACAAAAGAAGCCGCTGCGGAGCCAGACGGAAGCGCACCTTGCTGGGAGCGCGGAGTGTCCCAGTTGTGGGATCCGCTGGCTTTTCCTCTGGGCTCTGCTCTTTCTCTGTGGGCATCCATTTACACGCTAATGACTCATGCATATTCATCTCCAACTTCCGACGTACCCATCACCGCGCGGTACCCAGGACCAGAGTACAACGGAGGCCCCTGCACACCGTATGTCCACAGG